TCACAGGGTCCTGCTGCAAATGCTGACTGGAAACTTAATTTAAGACGGGCGCTAAAACGTGAAAGCCAAATTAATGAATTAGTTGAGAAGAAAGAATTTTCTTTTCTCTTGAATCCTGATAATTAAAATCTTGACCGTTTGCAGCAAGAAATGGAATTGGTAGCAGTACTTCAAGGTAAACACTGTGCCATTAAAACACAGTCATAACACTGGGGTGTCATGTTTTTTACCCCTCTCCCTCTCTCTTTCTTCCTCTGCTATTAATCTCAACTATTACAGCAGCAATTATTGCCTCTTATCGGTAATCCATTTCTAATTTACTGGGTTTACTCTCTCTGATAGCCCACATGTATGTTCATGCCCTGAAGCAGGACTTGGTGATTACAATATCGGACCAGCACTGCATAATTGAAGTATAATGATGTAACAATTAAAATTGGGTCATTTATCCTCCAGGTCTGAATCCTTTCAATTGGACACAAGTGCAGTCATCAGTGGAAGGAAATGCATAAATGGAAGATCTGTATTGTCTCATACGCATGACAGGGCGCCCCCTGTGACTCATTTATCATGGTATAATTCTGACAACTTAGTGTGCTTTATTTTTTAGATAGAAATACAGAAAACATTTAAAACTAAGCCTAATCAAAAATCGAGAAAGTGACCTAATTATATGAGCAAGCAGTCAAAGGATCATAGATAGAACTCAGACAACTAAAACTTAGCCTAAATTTAAAGTAAAACATTTTCATATCTTGACAAAAAAAAAAAAGACTTGTTAGAAAAAATAGGCGAAAGGTTACTTTCTACATTAAATGACTTACCAACATTGGCTGGACGGGGGTCATAAGAGACGCCTCCACTTTGAGGAGTTTCCGTGGCCCTGAACCGTTGGTCGACTCCTGCTGGTTCCTCAGCACTCGTTCAATCACATCACCCAGATTACGCGAGGCCTTAAAAGCATCGTATGCGTTTGGATCCACAGCGTCCAGGCTAAAAGACAGAATCAATGGTCAGACGACAAAGGACAAAAAAAAAGAGGGGGGCAGTGGTGGCTTGCTGGGTAAAGAAGCAGACTTTGGTCCGGAGGGTTACAGATTCAAGTCCACCAGCTGTTGCCACTGAGGTGGACTGAGCATGACACCGTCTCCACACACTGCTCCCTGCTGTGTCACAATGACAAAAAGTTCACTTTCTTTCACTCACACGTGTTTTGCTCCGGCGCTCATCTTCAAGTCGTGTTTTATCAGTCGGATGATACATTTGAGATCGTTGCTGGTGCATCTACAGAGAAGTGAGAGATTAGACTTGTCATCACACAGATCAAAGTACAAACTCCAGTTATTAGTAATGACAACAGCAACAAAAAATCTGGTGCCATCTAGTGGCAGCAACTGATATTAAAGTTGATGCATTGCAATCCAGGAAAAAGGTGAATTGAAATCAATCTTAACCAAAAGATGGACAACTTTGTACCTATATTTGAAGGTCTTAGTTTGACCATGTCTAGTCTGGACTCTTTCACAGAGGGAAAAAACCAACTCTATTACAAACACTCTCCAGCTGTGGGATCTTCTGCTGTGTAGACTCAAAGAAAATGATATCTATTCTGTGTGTGTGTGTGTGTGTGTGTTGGTCTGCATGTGTGTCTGCCTTGAAGCCAGAGTCAACAAACAGAAGTAAACAAATAAATTCAGCTTTTTACACAAATATAATGAAAAACAAGATTTATCATATCAGCCTCACTGGCTGTTTACACAAAGGTTCGGAATGCAATTACAAAACAAAGTTCTGTATGTAGATCATTGTTGACTGTGACTTATGATCACTGCTGCTTGTACAGTCAGTTTCCTATTCTGTGCACTCATATCAACCACTAAACAAAACACAGGGGAAAAGGGAAACTCTGCTGACTGCTGCTTCAAACACGCATGTATGAAGTGCAATGTTGGATAACAGATTTAAATAAATCGTTTTTTTATGAAACCTGGTGGAAACGGTGGAAAAGGCAATGTCTTCTTCCTCTATTTTCCTTTTAGAAAAGCCTGAGACTACAAAGAAATCCAATCAGTAATTCCAAACATTCCATGTTGGAAAATGTCCAGACAGGTGCAGACCCTGAAACCAGTTTGCAAATGGCTCTGCCAAAAAATAAGCAGTAAATGGAACACAGGAGCATTCACCTGTGTTGTGCGTTGAGAGAAAGGAACCAAAAAAATGTCCTGATCTGTTTCAATGTCATTTGACCTGTGACTGGACACTGATTGGATCTCTGTATTGATATTCCAGCTCTGTGACATAAGCTCTATCCACAGTACACGGACAAAACTCCCTTTTCCCTCCTGCTTTCTCCCCCTCGGCCTCACTCTTTTCATCTCTTTTTTTCCCCTCTTCTCAGAGCTCTGTGCTACTTCATCCTCTCTCCCTCTTCTACCTCCTGTTGCTCCCTGCAGGTATTTCTACCTAGCAAAATCTTCATTCCCTTGTTTTTACTCAACAGTGACAGCTTCATTTTAATACCATGAGTATAATAAAAGAAACAACCATTAATGTTAAGGGCATTTACTCTGTTGCTGTTTTCCCACTTTTCAACAACGCATTCACTCACACCAAAGTCCATCACAACACCATGCTCCGTCACTAAAGGAAAATATTTTTGTGTCTCAACAAAAACCATGTCTCCTTTTGTCAATACTGCAGACAAAAATCAATGTCTTTTTTAAAGGACTTTGGTACCAAAAGTAAAGTGTGTACAAACTACTAAATTCTTTTGGAAAGGTCAAAGTCAGAAAGACGGATGACATACCACCAGGTCTGTGTCACTGTTTAAAAAAAGTCACCAAGGTCCAAAGATGTAACTTTTAATTAGAGTAGAGATAAGTCTTTGTTTCGCTGCTGCCTACATCACTATGTATCTTGATTGGCTGTTTTTGGTGTTTGCCTTGATAAGACTACACCAGCAGCTCTGGTCCTGTGGACTGAAAACCATTTGTTTTCTGACCAAATTTTAGTACAAGAGTAAAATCATCCTGAAGTCTCAAGGTCTCTTCTTCTTTAGAGGACTTTTTTTTTTCTTCCTCCTTACCCCCGCCTCTATGTGATGGCTCATTGTGGGAGCGGCTGGCTCTCCATAAATAAAATCATAAAGCGTATGGTCTGGACCTGCTCTATATGAAAAGTGCCCCCAGATAACATCTATTATGATTTGGAGCTATATAAATAAAGTCGACTGGACTTGATTTGTTGCTTTTGGATGCACTAAAGAAAAGAGTCATAAACTGTTTTAATAGAGCAGGTCTGCACCGCTTGTTCTTTTAATGAATTGCCTTATCTTTACTTCTTTACTGCCTGGCCTTATTAACACTGATGTGATAATGTAATGTCATACTTTTTGGCAATGGCCTCCAGCTCATTCTGCTGCTCGTCCTCCTTGGTCAGCAAGGCGAGGCGGGTCAGAGAGGCATCCACTTCCTGGATGGTCAGGAGGCTCTTGGCCGCCGGCGGAAAAGATTTACTCTCGTCGAAGAACATCCGCACCGTCTCGGACACGTCGCCCTTCGAGTCAAAGACACGGACACACACACACACTTTACAACTGTTTTGTCGTCACATTGATTAACAATGTCTAAGACTGATTTAAGAAGTTTTTGAGCCGAAAATGACATGAAAATTCAATTTCATGGAAGGTGATTACAATCAAAGTCAGTGCAAAGTTCTGAGTTCAATTATGATCTATTGTTGTAGCAGGAATTTCCCAGCAAATGTTTTTATTACAATAGTGTAAAAAAGGAAGCATAAAAATAAACTATATTTTATTTATATTGTACGTAAATGCATTCTCACTTAGATCCTTTGTAAATACACACCTGCTCCAGGTCGCGCACCATGTCGTCCTGGTTGCTTCTGAAAATACGGCTGAAGAGCTTAACAATTTGCTTATCGTTCAGGTTGTAGACACTTTTAACAACACCAGGCAGAAGCAGTTTTATTGTCAAGTAAAGGTCTCCATGGAATTTATCTGTGAAGGCAGGAAAGAAAACATTTGGTCAGAAGAGACATTTGTCTTTCAGGCCTGGCTGTGGCAGATGTTAACAAACACACACACCTCCACACGAGCCTTTCTTCAGATAATTCTGAATAATCTGCGTCTTGGCGTTGTAGCCACTGATTTCTGCCACCATGGCGCAGAGTTTCCGGAACTCTCTGAAAAGACAGTCCTTGTGCTGGGGGTCACAGAGCTGGCTGGACAGGGGGCTGCCTTGGCTGGCTTTGGCCGGAGGGGAGGAAAAGGGTGTGGCGGGGGTGGATGGGGAGGAGCTGCTGGAGCTGCCAGCCTTCGCAGCTGAGTGAAGTGGAACAATAAAAGTTATGAGAGTAATTTGGCAGGGCAAGAGCACACAGGCAAAGTCAAGGTGGTTTAAACAAGGTTTTGTGATTGCCCTGGCATTTTGTAAAGGGTTCATTTTGTTTCTTGAATGTTTCCAGCCTTTGTTTTAGCCCTTTTGGCTTAATGCTGCAGATTTCTCAAAAAAAAGTTTTAAAAAGAATAACTGGACAAAACGTGAATGGGTTCAATGCAAATTGGAAGAGCTAAATCTAAATTTTACATATCTATTCTCTCTGGACATTAGAAACAAACTGGACTGAGCCAACCCTTCTGGCTCAGATACAAATCAAACCTCGCTCTGCCTTTTTTCTTATTTAAGACTCGCTATAATATTTATGCTCTTGTTTTTAAACTTTACCACTTCAATTCCACTTTCTTTTATTGTAGCCACTTCTAAGTAATTAGGTCATAAAGAAGAATGAGTTCCATGTCTATTTTTTGCAGCAAAGCAGTTTAAGCAGGACAATGTCACCAGTATTGTGAATGAAATCAATCACGAGCAGCTGCTCCAGTAGCAGCCTTCACCGTCAAGGCTTTTTAGCAGACAAATCAGACAGAAAGATAAAGTGCCTCATCACAAATCCAGACCAAAATCAGTTAAGAAGCTCAACATTGTCGCTGGACTCAAAAAGTTTTGATAATTAGACGAGTACATGTCTTTAGATGATAGTTTTCCTAATTGTGAGAAGAAATACTGTGATATAAAAGCTGTATTAACCTAAACACTCAACTAAAAGCTAGCTATTTATGTTTCCAAAACCAGGGGACTGAAGTTTAGTGTTGTAATAATCAAGATGATGAAGCTAAATTTTTTGAATCTCTCCAGGAACACTTGTATTTTTCTTTTGAAAATGTATTCAACTCCATTTGGATCTATCCATCTGTCTATACTTAATGTCAGTTCAGTTAGATTTTCTGATCTGATTATACCCTCTGGTATTATTTTTTCTGATCTGATTATACCCTCTGGTAAACCTAATGCTATTCTTATAAAGTATATTGAGTAAGAAGCTGTTTTGATTCAATTATTTCCCAATGACCTCATACAACATTAAAAGTAATATATTATTTATAATTTTTAGTTTAAATTTGACTCTTTTTTTTACCTGTGAAGCCTGAGAATTTGCGTGGTGCATTCAGGGATGGGTCGGCGGGAGGAGACAATAGCTGGCCCGTGGTGTTAAGCTTGGCTTGAACCTTTTTCTTTGGACTTGCGTTGACTTTGGCCATCAGGTCTACAAAACAGAAGATTCCAGTCTATAGTAAATGCATCTCTGACCACAGTGACCACAGTGCTGCATTCAACCCATAAAAAGATTGTAGCAGTTAACCACAGTGCTGCTTTCAACCCATAAAAAGATTGTAGCAGTTCAAATTCACAACACATTCAAGTCATCAGTCAGCTCTATTACTATTCTAGGACTAGTAATCCACCAGAGAGAAGACTAGTGATGCCTACACTGCTGTAGGAAATAAGATTGAAAATGAAACAACATAGACTAAAATTAGACTGAAAAAGTTTATGCTTACACATTCTAAACTTTTTTTCCTTTATTTCACTTTGTAAACCCTTTCCTACAAATTAAAAAACACTCCTATCTTAAATTTAATAGATTAAGAAATAAACACTTTTTATTTAGGAAACTGCAATGCAACTGTATATAAAATATTCAGCAGTTGTACCTGATACATGTTTATTAATGAGCTCCTTGTCTTCGTCCTGCAGCTCTTCCCAGCCTTCCAGTTCTGTGATGTCTTCTATCTTCTTTGTTGTGGCACGTGCTCTTTCCAGCTTTTCAAATATACATTTCACATGGTACCACTCCTTCATCTCTCCAGCAGATTCACTGAATGGGTTGGGAACAACTTTACCGATACGCACTATTCCTTTTGCGATTTTGTCCTTGCATTTTTTACAGCCCGCTGTACCACGTTTAGCATATTCCACAATGAACCTCTGTTCTGCCATATTGGGCTCGTCTGAGAAGCTGTGATGCAGGAAGAACCAGGTACGGTGGGGAGGGTGGATGAAGTTTTGTTTGTGGGAAACAAAGAACAAATGGCACAATTTTCGATAAATTTTAGATGCATGTAAGGGTACAGGCTGATGGTCATAGAAGGATAATCCAGGAGTGGATCTGAAATCTCTCCAGACTAGCTGAGGCCCTAAACGTGTTCCAAGACTTCTAAGACCCAAGGTAAACACACGGAGAGGCCTCTGCATCCAATCCTGTTGTTGGGAAAATTAGAAAAAACCTACAAAAGAAAAAAGACATTCACATTAAGCAAATGAAGTGGCCTTTGTTCTGAGAAAGGATGCTTTTCAATAACATTCATATCAACAAACATTTAGTTTACAAAAGATTAAAATAAAAACTAAAACTGAGTCAGAACAGCAGAGGGCTGAGTTACACAAAAAGGTTAACAGTGTTAAAATAAAAAAAAGATTATTTGATTAATTCTCAAATATTTAGATAAGCATTGATGGACAAATGCACATATTGTTGAAAATTTGTCATAAAACAGACATCATTCAAAGTTTAAAGTCCACGTCTAACTTCTTTACTAAGTCTTCTTTGTGTTTATTGTAATTTTCTGAAGTAGTTCTGAAATAGTTAGTTGTCTCAGTGTATAAACCAATATGCACTGTGTTGATTAAATATGAATGTAAATATTGATATATATATAGTCATCAATGCAATTCAAACCCGCTATTATATATAACCTTTTAATTCCTGGTGTTCTAAATGTTTTTACCTATTGGGTTAGTATTCTGTAGTGTAATTTATTTATCCTGGAATATGATTATTTTATGTTATGTTAATCTGCCTTTTCGTGTTGTCTGAAGTTTCATACATTAGTATAGAATAGAATAGTCTTTATTGTCATTGTAACACGGGGGTATAACGAAATTGATGGTGCTCCCACAGAGCCACTATGCACAACAGGAGAAACAAAAAACTATATATACAATAATATATACCGAGAAACAACCTCGTAATGTAAACTGTAAAAACACTGTAAAAAGATAGGAGGAGGTAGTGCAACATTATAAACACAGAAGAAGAATAAAATAACTACAATTTTAATATTAAAATTATGCATTTGTGCAAAAGAGATTTTAAAGTGACACTTAAGTAAAGATAAGGAAACTCTGTGGGGTCAGACTAAAAAAAAACTCCCAAGCCAAATTAAGTGTTTACATAAAGTGTTTAAACAATAGTGGCACGAGAAATACCCACGTTCTACGTGGAAGGAGAACAATTTAAAGCTAACAGTGATAGCTTTAGCCACGCTACAGTGTTTTCCACCTACACACAGCTAGTCAAGTTCGCTAACAGACCTTAAGGTAACCTTAGAAAATAACTATAAATAAACCAGTATTTCTGAGCATTTTGAGTGACCTACCGTAGAAAACATAAGCAATATTCATTTTACATTACTCCCCACTCAATCCTCATTGTTAATACACAACAGTAAGGAGGATGTCAAGATAGTTAGCTCCAGGACAAAATCAATAGTGCTTCCGGTTATTGTTTTCAAAATTAAGTGTTCGTCTATGTCAATACAACATTTATCGTATTTAAAGTATCTGAATTAGTTAAAAATATGAATTTGTCTGCCTTTTTAATTACATTTAAGGCTACAACTATTGAACGTACCACACAAAGTACCATTAAATTAGTTCTATAACTTTTGAAAATGAACTAAAACCGTGTTTGCTCTCTTTCTAGTAGACCCCGATGAGCTTGACACAAAAAGGCGGAGCGGCCACGGATCACGTGGTCATGACGCTACGCTTAAATCTGCAACAAATTTGTTTTACCGCCATCTGTTGGACTGGAGCACAAACTCTTAAAAAGGAACACAAAATAACTATGATATTATTTGTTAACTATAAACTAATAACTAGCAAATAACTTCGGAACCCCACAACGAGTTGTATAATGACAATAAAATAACAATAATAATATAATAATATTAATAATAACCTCTGTAATTGCCATTTGTGTTATCATTATAATTATAATAATAATAATAATCATCATCATAATCATCTTCATCATAGTAACTATTATATTAATAATAATAGTATTTAATTTGACAAAATAAGACGACACGCATTTTCTACGTAGTAATTGTTGTCCATGAACTGCTAAACGGTTAGCGCTCGTCCGTGCGTCTACGGAATATGCGTAAACATCTGCTTTCCTTTTAAGCAGGAACGACCGAATTCAAGCCTAGCTACTACGAGAATCAGCGTTGGGCGGTCACTACGCAAATCTTGTGTACGCGGAGGGAGGCGGAGGTGTATTGGACGCAGAAGCAGATACGTTAATATTATTGACGTTATTACACAGTACCGCACCGATTTCTTCTCCCCGGGCCTTCCTTGAACTAAAGGGCGAAGAATGGGAAGGAGAGGACGCGGACCATTAAAAGCAAAAAGCCTGGTCTTGTCCGCGGACTCAGAGCGACTTTTGTTGGGTTTGAACGCTGTGTCCCGGAGGTTTTAGAGCTCCGAGCAGGCTAACAGCAGCACAGGCTAACTGAGATCCGTGGCCCTCATCCTAACTCCCAGTTAACATCTGCATTCGCATGTACAGGAAGAGAAAATGGTAAGACGTGTAAGTCTTTTGTTTTGTAAAAAAACCCAACGAAATCTTGATGTCTTTGTCGCATGACGTGTAATAACGCGTCTGTCAAGGTGCTGTTACACCTTTGGCTAGCTTGTTTATGTCACAGTGATGACTGCTGCTGTCACCTGCCCCTGGACAGGAGCCAATTATTGAACTATTAAAACAGATCCGCAGTTAAAACATTGTATGCGTTGCAAAAACATGTTGTTCCATGTTTTCAGCATAACACAACATTGCCGTTTTGGAACACCTTTTTTCAAATTATCATAATGCTTTAGTCAGAAAGATGACGTAAAGTGAGTTATTTCACTAATATTTATTTATATTTATTTGTCAAAAAATTGTACGTTATAGAGTGTTGGGAACAGGAACTATGCTAAGGTGAGGTTGGTGAAGATGTCAGTGGGGCAGTGGTGGCTTGGACTCGCAGGTTCGAATCCATTGAGAATAGAATAGTCTTTATTGTCATTGTAACACAGGGATACGACGAAATCGAGCATGGCCGTCCCCGTACACTGTTTCCGTGCGCTCAGCATGAGCTGCTCACTAAGATGAAGGGTTCAAGTCGGAGTTTATGACAATAAATCCTGATTGAGCTTTTCATGAAAACTTATTCAACCTGTTTATAGAAGAGTCTCTAGTACAGTAATGTCGAGGACCATAACACAATATTTGGAACCTAGGGTGTGTAAAATTAGCACTGTTAAGGATATGCTTCTGTAAATAGAGTTGGCTATTTGTTCAGGATAATGTTCTTATGACAATACAGACTATTCTTATACCCAAGAACTGCAGTACCACATGTCATGCAATGATCAACAATACTTTGACCGAAAGTCAACCACACCTACAAAATGAATTCGAGAAACACTCACGCCATTCTGCTTCTTTTCTCCATTCCATTTTGTTGCTTTAATGCTGATTGAATTTATTTGTTCTTTTGTCCTTGTGCAGGTGTTCCTCTTGAATCCTATAGACAACCTGAGAAGCTACATCAACAACCGTCCACCGCTGGTCATTTTTATGATCAGTGTCAGTGCGTTGGCCATCGCCTTCCTGACTGTTGGTTATTTCTTTAAGATTAAGGAGATTAAATCTCCAGAGCTAACAGAGGTGAGTCACAGCAACGCTGTCTCTTTAGATGAAATTAAATTGTACAGTCTAATCTTTTTAAGTATCTCTTAGGGAAATGTGGCTCACCGCTAATGGTCAAGTCATGAGTTTCCGTTCCACAAGGACACATTTGTTTTTTCTTTGACATTTTATGCTGATGAACTTGCTAAAAGTTCCCTTTTTATCAGCTGCAGTTTTTTCTTAAATATATATAAATATGCACAGATTTGAACAGAATGAAAATGGTGAAACATGGTGTGATGACCTGCCAAACACAAAGAAAAAGCATACAGGATCTTGCTATTTAACAGGTAGTACATGCAGGTTTTTGAGAATGAAGTATAGAAAGTCTACAGTCCCTATCCAGCCATTTGACAATTGCATCGGTCAGTTTGTCTGGCGTAAACTTACGTTCCTGCACCCAATGAAGCTGTTATGATGGGCATCCGACCCGAAGTTGAAGCCTCAACAAATGTATTTTTGATGTTGTAATAACATGGGTCATTTGTGTATTAGAGCAACAATAAGTGGACGAACAGTGGAATTATTAGGTATACACTGCATTCTGCCTGTGCATTACAATGTGATGTCTTGATAATTTCACAAGTTAAGTAATGAGTTTATTTTGGCGTCCCTTTATAACTAATATTTACTGAGGACAGGTACTAACCAATCGGGCAGAACTACACCTCATGCTTGTGTGTCTGTGTCAGGACTGGAACACTTTTCTGCTGCGCTTCAATGAGCTGGACTTTTGTGTGTCGGAGAATGAGACGATAAAGCACGGTCTGAATGAGTCAACCACGCCAGAGAGCATGGTCGTGACCAGCGGTCAGGCACGGTCTATCACCCAGGCTCCGGTCCTGCTGGAGGACTCAGGCCCCATCAACATCTCTGTCCCCATCACCCTCACACTGGACCCCCAGCGTCCCTTTGGAGGATACTCTCGTAACCTCACCCATCTGTACGCCACGGTGCTGGGGCAGCAGGTTGGCCTTTCTGGTGAGTTCTCTGCTTCTCTGCCTGTTTCTTCTGTTTGTCTTCAGAGTGGTTTACTACAAAGACAGCACGTATCTGTTGTACACAAATGTAATTTTTTCAGATCTCATTCATACTGGAACACATGAGTCTATGACCGTAATCAGGCAACATCAAACGATTATACTTTCTCCAGATGTAGACTCTGACAACAAATGTTTGGAGCTTTATTTAAAAATGGATTCTCCATGGATGATATATTGGAAAAAAGAGCAGTAAACACGGAATAATTTAGCCCAAACAAACTCGTATATCTTTTGAAGTTTTGTTCATTTTTTTGCTCAATGCAGTTCAATTTCATCATGTATATTTTTTCACCAGTATGTTTCTGCACCATGACACAGGGTTCACACTCACATACACCAAACTGTACCTATAGGACTCCCTAGACCACCTGTGAAATTGTAGTCTGAGTAATCTCCCCTCAGAGTATCTGTGTGTATTCACTCCTGTACTTAGAGCTGATCAAATCACCCATGAGGCAAGTTAAAGCCATGACAGGTGGAGCTGGGTTGGAATGAACACACAGTGGTAGCTTTGTCTAACAATAATGCCTTTCTCTTTCAGTTGTGCTCTAGATTTCAGAGCTAAAAGCAAGCTGTAAAGTAAATACACAGCCTCTGTATGCTTCAGATTTTCATGTACATAGTGTGTACCCTGTCGTGGTGTATGTGAACCTTACTTCTTTTTTTCCAATATAATGGAGGATTCTAGTTTAGTGGGCAAAAAGAAAACTTTACATATGATTGTTGTGTTTATTTTAAGCTTTTTCAAAGAGATAAGAGATAACTTATTACAAGAATACTCATTCCTTTGTACCTCGGCTATAAAAAATAATACTACACCTCACCTATTATATAGTTACTTCAAAATAACCTTTCAACACAGTGATGACGGTTATAAAAAATCTTCAATCCCTGTGAGGATATCAGGATTGTGTTCAACTACACAGACACAGGTTTTATAATGAACTAGTAAACTAAAACATGGTGATTATTGTATTTCATTACATATATTTTTTGGGACATTGTTGTTTGACGGTCTGCCATGGGATTCATTTTTTTGTCTCTTAATTTTGCTTTTGCTTTAACTGCACCATTCCAACACCGGTAACTTCCTTGTCTTAAATTTTAAACTTCATAAATCCAGGCGTTCAAAGTCGACAAATACAGACTGAGTGAATAGTCATGTGAGAGTAGGGCTTTGACACAGAAGAGGAAGGAGTGGCATGTGTCTACTGTGTAAACTATTTTTTTTTTAATCTGCTTTAAAACAAACAACCATAAACTGCTCACTTCTGGTCTGACTACAGTAATCACACGCTGTCACTCCCAGGTCACATGACTTTGCAGCAGAGACCAGTTGTTATCAGCTCCTCCTCTAATCCACAGTAATAAAAACTGAGCGATCAAAACTTTAACTTTTCCTGCTGTCACTGTTTTGTTTAAGTAGCCATTTGGAATATTCTCAGGAAGGTGTGTATACATATATATAACATCCACAATTGGAGGTTCCACAGGGCTGCTATGGTTTTACCAGATGTATCTCTCACACCCCAAACCTCTCCCTGGTGCCACCTCTGGTACACATTTGGCACAGCTTGTACACTAGATGCCTTTCTTGATTCAATCCACATTGGGATTAAAGGACAAGGTGTTATGGAACCAGAAACCTGCTTGTTGCTCTTGACCAATCAAGACCAAGCCTACTCTAAGTTAACCTTTCAATAGGAAAACACTGTGGACGTAAAAGAAAAGGCCGTAAGATAAAGTCTTGCATTTGTAAAAAGAGAAGTGGTGCAGACGGAGAAGCTGGGACTGGAGTAGTTGGTGTCATAATAAAAATAATCTGTTGTGTTCATCTGTGTGTATGTGTGTGTGTCTGCAGGCCGAGAAGCCCACGAAGAAATAAATATCACATTCACCCTGCCTGTGTCCTGGAACTCGGACGACTGCGTGCTGCACGGACACTGCGAGCAGGTGGTGTTCAGCACTTGCATGACCATCACAGCAGCCAGCAATATCTTCCCAGTCACAGTGTGAGTTGGACCGTGTCCCAGACTCAGGGGAGGACTGTGTTTCTCTGCCCAGAGTCCGGGTGATAACAGACTGAATTAAATACAGCAATTGAATGTTTTAGATCTTTAACAGTGTTTTGGGGGTGGGTTCATGTGGGGGCATCTTTACAATGTTCAATCAAAGTAATTACAGTCTTTAATGATATTGACTTGGAGGAGAATATTAATGTCTGGGTTGGGTGAAAAGTAGTAAAAGAAAAAGCCTTTTGATCAGTAGATTTATTATAGTTTGGTTTCTCTGGTGCCTTTTATCGTCCTTAAAGATAAATTCAAGGCTGGTTGGATTTTTCTCTTTAGTTCTATGATGCTTTTGGATATGATTGGATGTTTAAAGCTTAACTCGACTAATACAGAAAGCATAATATTTTCAACTACTCCAAACCTAGCAAGAAACAAGTGAAGAGATGTATTAAAAAAAACTGTAGACAATTAACAAATAATGCGATTGATCACAGTTAATCACAATTTACGGTTCCCGTCACCATCACACACGATATCCTTTAATCTTTAACAATACAAACACAGCAGACAGAGTTCACAGAACACAGTGATCGCCGTGACTAATCCTTTGGTCCGTTCTTCTATTGTGCGCTAATAAAACAGAGCCTATTCTGTCAGGTTACATGTGCTTTTATCTCCACCACACACATTGACCTGGTTCCACAACATCCATCAACATTTTGTTCTCTTTGTGTCCCGTGTGTTAGCACACATGTCCAGCTCCTACAGGGACTGAGGGCAGGGCTGGGTGCAAACTCACACATGAGAGTGTAAAGTCGATCGCTCTCAGAGCAGAAAGTCACATGAAGCAGCTGGAATTTGAAACAGATTGTTACCACATCCCAACTGTTTTGAGAAGTTACCACTTGTGACCAGAGAGGAACCAGCTGTGAAGCATCAGCCAACCATAACCCTGTGTTTTCTTTACAGGCAGCCGCCACACTGCATACCGGAGACCTACACCAACGCCACCTCCTGGTACAAGGTGTTCACCACAGTCCGTGACTCGGACACCAAGTACAGTCAGGATTATAACCCGCTCTGGTGTTACAAAGGAGCAATCGGCAAAGTTTATCACGCACTCAACCCAAAACTGACTGTCATTGTACCAGACGTAAGTTAACGTTTGTCATAGTAGGTAAATGTGTCATTGCAAATTTGTTTTTTTACCTGATATGTATTAAATTTTACAATTAAATTTCATACCGCAAATGTTTTTTGATGTGAATGTTGACTTGATTGTGGTGGTTAGTGCCATTACCTCCGAGAAGGTCATTGATTCAATTCTGTTGGTTTCATCTCACTAATTAAAATAAAACAAAATAAATACTAATATTTAATTTAACTTTTGTTATATACTGAATTAACCTCATATCCAGTATGACCACAAGAGGGCACTGCCTACATTTTACTCCACACTGCTACAGTTAGTTACACACTTTGAGGTCAATATTGTTAAATACGTTAAATATAAGTGGTGCATTTTGTTGTATTTGACTTGATTTCCTTTCCCATCTTTTTTACTAGGATGACCGCTCTCTCATCAACCTGCATCTCATGCACACAAGCTACTTCCTGTTTGTGATGGTCATCACCCTGTTCTGCTATGCAGTCATCAAAGGGCGACCAGGCAAAGTACGACAAACCAACAGCGACTTCTGCCCAGAGAAGGTACAACAGACACCAGCAGTGCTATATGACTTCAACAGGTAGTTTAAGACCCCGTGTTATTTTACCAGTGATTGGTTTAAGAGCTGATTCAAGCACAATCACAACTCCTATCACCTGTGATCTTAACTCTAATCAACAAATGGCATGTAACCAACACTGTTTGATTTTGATGATACTGACTAATTCAATCTGGATTTGAATTAAACTTGTCAGTCAAAACACTAACACTCTCTTCTTTGTCCTTCTGCCTGCTTGATAAAAAGGTTTTTTTTCTTTATAGCAAAGACTGATTTGACTCTTTAGAAGTGAGTCTTCAAAAGCATCACCATAAATGTGTGGTTAATTAAAGAGGAGGGTTTGATAATGACAGATGAAATGCCTTTCCTCTTTATTTTATGGCAAAAATAAATATTTTATAGGTCCACTTACAGCCATTGCTTGTAAACAAGAGGAAACTGCCTTTTATTTTAATGGATATAGATTTTTATGAATAAATAAAATTAAATGAATCTTTGGCTCCTCCTGTTGGCCATTTAAACAAGATCTATAAAGATTTATTCTTCCTAATCCATACATGCATATATAAACATAAATATATAAAGTATGATAATCTTTCAATGGCACTTCTTCTTCTAAAGCTTTTGTGGTGTTGTTTTGAACTGCATGCAATAACCTGAGTCATTTCCTCTGTTGCAGGTGGCGCTGTCAGAGAGTTAAAATGATTTCGTCCAAAGGTTATGTCAGAACGTAACTGTACATCCGGACAGAGTTAGGGGAAACTGGAGGAATATAATATTAACATGCTAGTCTGTTAGTGAGCATACTACAGTACGAGGGACTAAGAGTAGCTCTGCGAATGCGTTCAACTCCCGCAATGTTGGATTTCTCCAACCAAAGATATATAAGTGCCTGTATCTGTGCTGTAAATATTTGTAGGAACTCTTGATTTTTTTTAATTTCAGGGTGATTGTTTTTTTGTTTTGTTTTTTTTGCCTGAAATCTTCGTGCCACGTCTGGATATAAACACAACTTTCCTACATTATTTTTTGCTTTTTCATTGAAGTCTCCCGCATTTTTTTACTTCACTGGCTGAGAGAGAAGCTACCTAGTTTTGGTGTTCTTTAAACTCTAAAAAAAAACAAAAAATAAACCAATTTAAATCCATTGAGAAGATGGTGTATGATTGTCCCAGTGGAAAGTCATGAGGATTAGATTGTTTTAAAACAGAGGGAAACGTCCTGAACGTACATGTGGATTTTGGAATTTTCCTACAGTACAAGGAAGTGGAAAAGGAATTCAAGGAACATCTCTGAAAAAAAATGATAAGGTTCCTAATCACATACAGACAACCTGTCATACTTCAGTCAACATCTGGAAGCAGCATAAGCAGCACCTGAATGTGCTTGAACACATGGGAGAAGAGGGTGAGCTGATTTTTGCTGAGAGTGTGTTTAATCTTAACGTCTGCATCTTTAAAACAGAGATTACAGTAGAAATGGAACCTGCACTAAAACTAAAAAAAAGACAAGATGCCGCTCATAGTTTGGATTTGAAAGCAACATTGGCCTTTAAACAATTAATACCAGGTTTAATCTTGTCTGTTTGCACTGTAAAAGCAGCAAAAGTACGTCAAAAAACCCTGCTGTCTGTTTTAAAATTATTCGTTATTGTTTATTCAAAACCTCCTTCCACGTTTAAAGTTGCATTGAGGAATGTAATGATATTATTGATGTTGACGTTCAAGCCTGATCTGTAGCATTTAAGGCTCAATCTTGTTAATTTCACGGGGATTTTTCACTCTGATCTCTTGCTAACTACTAACTTGTGGTGTGAACCTTCGTGCCAATGATTTAACTGAGGCACCCAAATGTACCCAGAGGTTCCACACTGCAGCTTTAATGTATCACCCTGCCCTTTTTTGTTGTTGTTGTGTTTGTTTTTAAATGATTTCACACTTGTTTTACAGCATTTATCCAGTTTTAGTTTTCACTCATGTTATCTTGCCTTATCTGCAGTCTGTTAAGTTTGAAACTTTCTCTATCAAAACAGGCAAGTTTTTAAATAAAAAATTATTTCCTACCATTTCCTTTTAAATTACGGAAAAACAGAGAATTCTGACTTCCTTGTAAAAAAAACTATATAAGTTAGCTTTTATTATGGTTATAAAATTAATATATTTATAATAATGTAATTAAGTTTGTTTATTTTTCTCTATTAAAGAAAATGTACAAAAACACATGGTTTATGGATGTTAGTGAGTATGTAAAATGTTTGCTTGGAACAATTTAGGCTTTTTCTGGTTCACAGAAAAATTCTCTGTTATGGAAGTGGAAATTTCAGCTTTAAGAGTTATTTTATTGCTCTTTCTTGATTATTCCTTATTTAGCCAGGTTATTCTCACTGACAGTGAATTTAGGACCTGGTGTTTTGGTTGATTCTACAGGATCTTTGAATTTGACAATCATTTATTTCTAGGCATACATACAAACAATACAACATTTTTAATTTATATAATGCAGGTGCTCTAAAGGCATGTTTAAATTTTCAGGACTACATCAAATAATATGGTAAAATGGTTCAGAACCAAGCCAAGGAACAGTTGGAGCTAAAAACCAGAAAAAAATGAAGCAAGAATAAAGAAAAGTGTTAAACAAAACAAAAACTAAAATAACAACAGACAACAACCGTTTAAAACTAGCTCAGCAGCTATCTTGAGATTAGCATAAAGATAATTTCAACATATGACACAAATGTCTCAACAATTATGGTCTTTAAACAATTTTTTTAAATGTGTTCCTGGGTGGACAGGATGGGTCATAAGGACCGACACTGGACTAGCCCGATTTAAAATCTGTGCGAAACTATAAACACAAAAACTAGAGAAAAAATATGAGTCTTAAGTAGGCCTTTAACAATATTTTTTTTTTCAGTAGTTCCTGTAACTTGTATTCCCTCTCTCTTCAATATCTTGTCATATTTAAATTAAAACAGTTGTTGAATGTACTCTTTAACAATGAGCATTGAGCAGATGAGTTGATTTTTTTTTACATGGTTTTAACTGATTCACATAAGGTTTATTAAAACATCTTGTCATGTAATTGTACCACAGACTGTAAATATATACAGGTAGAAGTGCGTGTGTGTATTGTCAGTGGATGAGTGACTTTTTTTTTAACAAAAGGACAAAACAGTCTTCCTAACTCTAGATTTTTATTTTGTATCATATCCGAGCATGTATGTGTTGCATTCACTGGCGCTGTTGCAAACTGACGAGGAGGTGATGTAATGTTGGGTGTTGATAATCAGCGTTTTAAACCATATTTGGCTCACTTCAGATCTGGTGTTCCTCAAATTAGTATCAACTCACTTCCATGTTCAAGGTTAGATGGTGTAAGCAGACACATTTAATGTGATAATGAGGTCTAATTGCCTATCCTTGGCCCACATTTAATCAGCTCCAAACATGCCCACACCAGGTCTGAATATGTTTGTTTTTGTTTTTTTGGTTATGTTTTCATATCTAACTGCTAAATGCCTTAACCTTTTGCTGGTTTCGTTTAGTCCTGCTGTAAAGTCCGCATCGGTGCCATCATCTCGGCGCTCCTCGGAACTCATCACCAAGCTTTCTGGACTAGATTTTTAAAATGAACTCCACTATAATCGCAATGGACTGGAGTAAGAAAAAAAAAGCAGAGGTCGCCATGTCACCTTTTTATCCTTTCTGTCATGTCTGCAGAGCTTACCGGCAACTATTAAAGCCAACTTTGTGCCTTCTGCACTGTCCAGCTGCATCATCCTCTTCCTCATACCCAGCGTAGATAGGACCATAGGTTTAACGTTGCTGTGGACGTCACAACCAATCCATTATGGTTTTCTTCTTCAGTGGAACTGCTGTAAATGAAATTTAAGTTGAAATAAACTCTCCAAATGATAAACAAATGCACGTTTCACTAACCTTTTCTTTCTACCAACTAAAACCATCAATAATTAAAATTTTAAAGTGTATTACCGAATTAAATGTTTTATTTTTCACTTGGAATTTAGAAAGAGTAACTCAATTATTTTGCCAAAAAATGTATGTATGAAACAAACGCAATAAAACTGTGTTACACTGATCAATCTCCAACTTTTAACTAAAATATTTGTTCCTCTCTACTGTTCTCCACACTTAGATTTGACTTCCCTAGATGAGGTTCTCTATTCATTCCACTAGAGGGCAGAGTTGTCCGATATATGAAGTAGAAGGCACGTTTTTGTAGTAGTTTTCAACTAAGCTCTTTTACCTTCCTCCGGCTGATAAATACCAAACAAACAAAACCTGGGCTGCAGGGTTTTCCCGGCATTGGAAAAGAGGTTCCGGGCAGAAACAACATTAAGTCCTAAATTTAGGAAATGGCATTTTTACTTTACGTCAAATTACGTCCACCATGTCCACACAGCGTGGTTTGCATTTACAGCTCAAACGAATTGCAGTTCGTTAATCGACATTTCAATGGTTTCAGAGTAAACAATCGGCACAGTAAGACAATACGTTTTAAAGTATTTCACTTTCTTAATTCTACTTCTGAAAATGTCAGAATTACCTCGAAAATGTCACGGTTGATCAACGACAGAAACGACGCTGCGACAGGAGAACAAACGTCACTTCCTGCCAACTTCTCTTCGCTTATAAACAAACCTCAACTTTAAACCATAATGCTATTGTGTCACAGTGTAGTATCTGGTAAAAAACTACAAACTGTACGATACAGGATTAATATATTTAAAAAATATATCATGTTTTGGTGCTATTTACCACCAGAAATAAATGGGGAAAAAAAATATATAAGACGTTCTGATGGGTGAACTTTAAAGGTATAGTCTTTGTATTTTATTTTTACTCTGGCCCACAGCTAATTCCTGACCCTGCTGGAAAAACGAGTTTGAGAATTTTAATGATGAAGGACAGGGATGGACTGTGGACACAGCAGAGGACTGAATAAAATAAAAATTAATGGGCACAAAGGGAGCTGCAGGGTTGGTGAATTATTAACTCCATCCCAACAAAGAGAAACTTTGCCTAAAATGTTAAATTGGCTCGAAAACTTTTATTTAAACTCTCACTCTTCATACAAAGTTAATGCTGTCTTCTTTTCACCGACAGACACAGTAAGTGTTTCATGTCCGAGCTCTTGGCCTTAATTCCGGTTCTTTTGGACAGACAGAGAAAGAACCTCTGTCCTTCTGTCTGTGTATTAAAACTGTCCAGGAGTCACCTTGGCGTGTGCACTTGTTTTCAAAGAGCCTTCATAAAGTTGATTAAATGGCAAAATGTGATTCAGTGCAGCAGCGGGCAGTTGGATTGACAAGCACGGAACAGGAAATGAGAGTTTAGTCTTTGGAAAAACAATAGCCTTAAATCAGGTCACGTTCAGAAACATTCAGACACAACAGTCTGAACGACCAGCTGCCAACAGATGGTTTATGATGACTTTTAAATCTGCAGGAGCCAATCAGAAATCAGCATGCTTCTAATCAAACCAACCGCCTGCAAATGAGTAGTTACTAATTTTTAAAATGTATTCTGGCAACATTATGTTTTCAAATTTCATTTCACTTTGAGAAAAAATGTGTATCGTCACATCACAACCCACTAAAAAGTGTAATGTAAAGGTCATGTGACTTTGTTTTACCAACATTTGTGGACAGTAACACAAGTATAAATCAATAAAATTTTAGTTCGTTTTTTTTCAGCCCTTTTCCAAAATGTGGATTTTTTAAGCTCAAAGATCCGCACACCATGGTTTTTATAACTCTCCAACATTATTTAGGTTGTAGAATAATTTGTGGGGTTTTTTTTCATATTCAAAACTCTCTCCTCCACTTTCAGATGGAATAACGGACGCACCCCTCATCTACATTCTCCAACATGTGAAAGTGAAATGAGATGTCACTGCAGCTACCTGTTAGCCAGACGAGGCTCAGGGATTTATGAGTTTCTGTGTTTTTCCTGCTGCTCCTCTGGTGTTTATTGTTATCGTCGCTCACTGATTATTGCCTATAATTGCTGGCGGCGTCTGGGGATTGAGAGACTTCCACTTCAAAAACACCCACAATTCCACACTGCTACTCACTTGGCTTTGGTGTTTCTACATCAAATAGACTGATGAGAAGCACACAGTGTTTAGGAGAAAACATCTGGAACCTCATCTTTTTTCACTTGTGCATCAAAAAAAAGGTGAAAAAAAGGTAAAAAAAAACAACAACAACAACTAACAGCAGCTGCTTTATGGGTGGTGAGCGCCTCTGCATATAAAGTTTCCTCAATCTGGCTCTGCGTCTGTTGCCAGCAGCTGACACCAGAGGGAGATGCATCCTCTCTATCACTTAAGATTGTGACTGATTGAAAGTGATGACAGAGGTTAAGGGCTTTTTAGTAGATCTACAGGGAGAGAACCTCCAGAGAGATGGAGCCACTCTGTTACAAAATGTGAGCTGCAGGAGGGCAGCAGAAAATATTGAAAATAGACCAAATGATAACAGTGACTATTTGGAATTACAGATTTAGTATGGTTGGATGGACCAGTCCATTTGTATTTTTGTCAGACAGAAAAAAATCTTTATCCATATCACCTTTAAAATTAAACTAGTTCAGAGTTTGAGAATGAACAGAGAAACATTAGATGTTATATTGTATCTAAAACAAATAAAGAATTCATTAAAGGAAGAGATAACCCAGACCAAATTAACAAAGTTGTTCTAATCTGTTCCATCTTAATCATACAACTTTATTCTCTTTTTTTTTTCTTTTTCTAAATGTACATTTTACTTCTACTTCAAAATGGAAGTCGTCCTCTGTTTCTATGACATGTTATGGTTTTACTTACTCCACTCCTCCATTCACTCATATGGTTGTTGGCATCAGTTTGAGATGAGCTGTAGGAGCAGCCACTGGCTGATTGTTTTCTCTAATGTGGTCAAATGGTTGGCACCCGCCCTGCTTGGTGTGCCGTGCTCTCAGTGGTTGAAGATTCCTCAGACAGATCCATCTGTGGGCGTGTTCAGTCTGGGAATGTTTTTGACTGTGAGTCTGATTTAAATATCACCTCAGGTGAGAGCGCTCTGAAGAGACATTTTCATGCAGACGCACAAAAGAATAGAGAGAGAGAGACCGCCATCCTAGACATGAATCACCAATGCAAATCACCAGTTAACGGCTCATTGTCCAGGTCATTCAGGCATCAATGGAACTACACTCACATGCACACACACACTCATGTGTATACACACATGGATGACCTGCACGTGGAGTGCTGGAGAGACACAGTCTGGCACCACACTGCCCTCCCCCTGACAGATGGATGAGGTTAATATCATAATTAAGCACCTCAGCCCGACGGTTCCTGTTTACCACCGGGTTGCTAGGCAGTGACATCAGCTGATCCCTCCCCTCCATCCTCCCTCCCTCCCTCTCTCTCTCCCTCTCTCTCTCTCCCTCTCTAATCCCTTCCCTCGCTGACACTCACACACTTATACCACCACTCTCTCTGTCTGAGACAGACGAGCAGCACCGACGTGTGGAGGTACAGAGGAAGAGGAGGAGGACGGACCCAGGGGGAGGTAGTAGTTGCAAGAGTGTGTGCAGGTGTGAGAGAGTGTGTGTGTGTGTCAAACAGCATGGTCTGAGTCTGAGGACTGGACTGAAAGACGCAACAGCACCAGCAGAATCCACAGATGTCCATGTAGACCAGAGTGGTGACATCCTCAGACCACCTGGCAGCAGGAGCTCAGCCACCTCCTCACTCAGTCACCAGAGGAGGTCTTGGCTTGTGGTATTTTTTTTTTTCTTATTGTACTTTTTTTTTGGCTTCTTACTGGATTTGGGAGTAGGCTCCGGGCTGGACCGCATGCATGACACAACGCAAAGGCGCGAAACCCACCATCAGCATCCAGGAGCACATGGCCATTGACGTGTGCCCTGGACCCATCCAGCCCATCAAGCAGATCTCAGACTACTTTCCCCGTTACCCCCGGGGCCTCCCCCCTGCTGCTGCTGTGCCCCTACAGCAGCCCCCACAACCGGCGGGCCACACCGGGTCCCAGCGTTCTACCCTCCCTGCCTCCTCTTCCTCCACAGCTGAAAATGAACGACCCAGTGAAGACAACCCGGACCGGGCGTTCGCTGGTGCCTCTGGCTCTGCCACTTCCTCCGCCTCGCCACAGGCCACCAGGAGGGACGAGGAGCCGGATGTTGAGGCGTACGACTCAGACGACTCGAGTGAGTGCTAACCCTGTGAAGGTGTTTCCACCCAACCACTTCAACCTCCACCTTTATTCCTGTCATCACTGCGTCTCCATCTTTCTCACTGGTTGCCAGGCATCTCCTTCAGCCGTGCGCCTTTTCTTTTTTTTTCCTCTCACCTTTTCTTTCCCTGCCTCCACTGTCTTTCTGTCACCAATTGGCTGCGTCTCTATGTGTCTGTGCGTGCACGTGGTACGTATAAATGTGTGTGTGTGTGTGTCTGTGCTGCAGCGAACTCTTTAGAGGCGACGAGACGGCCAACTGTTGCTGCTGTAGAGAAAAGACGGCTCTCCCTCCTCCTCCTCCTCCTCTTCCTCTCTCCTCCTGCTGCTCCTCTTCTCTGAAAGGACAATAATACATGTGATTTAATTTTGCGTGCGTTCCTTCAGCGTGTGCTCATGTGTGTGTTTTTCCCTGAGCTTCAGTCATCCACAGAGGATGCTCAGTCTCTAATCTCTCAGTTCATGTTTGAATCGTTCATGGCTTCTTGGTATTGGTCGCAGGTTTTCAGCTGTCTGACAGTCTGACCACATCTGTGCTGGCTCACAGTGAGACGGTCAACTTCTACCTGCGTCTGTGTCTCGGTTGTCTCGCTGATTTCTCCAATTAGAAGTCCTCGTCAAATGTCACGTAAGATGTCCGCTCAGCTGAATACGAATCATCGACAATTAGAGCAATTAAAGGAAAACACCTCTTATCGCTTCGTCACATAGCTGAAAGCTGCCACATCATATTTATAAACATCTTTATCTCTTTTTTTTCTGACAGAAATTCTTTTTATAGTCCTTGTCAAATGTCATGCACCACGTTTGCATTTTTGAATACCAATGATCAGCCATTAAAGCGTGAGGGAGCGGGTTGATAATGTGATGGTGTCCAGGGGCCAATCGCTGCCCCTCTGATAATTAACATAGTAATTAAGTTTCACACTGACGCAATGTATTTGAACCCATTTATTCCATGCATAATAAATGTATGTTTAATTGGTATTTTTAATGAAATTCAGTTCAATATTAAAACAAATCATGTCATACCATATATCCTACATATACCAATTTATATTCAGCAAACAAACAAATTATAAACATGTTGCAAAAACCTGCTTGAGGCACATGAAAATAAACACAGATCAACGAGGAGAAAGTTATTTTACAACAAACCGATGTGGAAAAAATGTTATGTTTATGAAGAGCCATAAGAAAGATAAACAGAAAAACAGACAGACCACTTGAAACCTTTCCAAGTACCAATGACAGCCCCCGTGCCTGACTTTGAACATGCTAAAATCTGCCACATTATTTCCCTCAAAATTCTTTTTCACCAAAAGGACTTCTTCCTGTTTTTTCCCTGCTGAAATTGGCTCAAAGTCAGCGTCACTCTGAGCAACATGTTGCTCACAGTGTGCACAAAAAAAAACAGTGAAAACACTTGAGCAGTGTGTCGGCAGTCGACTCCAAAAGCAACACCCTCGTCTCCCCTTCCCTCCCCCCGCCCCCACTGCTGTGCACCACAGACTTGTGACGGCAGGTTAATGTGTGACAGCAGTGCAGCTTCCCTGAGAGTTAATCCATGCAGAGCAGCACTGAAGAGGGACGGGAAGAGGGAACGAAGGGATGTAGGGAGAGAGCTTAGAGCATCTATAATCCAGACCTGGTCAGTGAGGATGACAGGACGATGGGGGCAGGGAGGCTGGGAGGCAGGGAGAGATGAGAGCATAGATGGGTGGTGCGGAGAGTGGTGAGATGGGAGGCAGATTTTTTCAGCTATTTCCATTCAGTAAATACGAGTAGATTATGGTTTGGACTTCAGTTGAACACGCTCCATGTTTTACTCCTCAATAGTCCTCAACTAACATGTTGAGTTGGACGGACATGTTTGATCAAAGACGTGTCTGTTCTCAAGAAAACTGTGACACTAAACAAAAAAATGTAGCAAAGCGAGCAAACCTGAAACCAGTTTGATCCCGGTCAACTGCAGGTGCTCTTACTTCCTCCCTTGGTCCAAACATGCTGGATTAGATTAACTGGACACTTAATCTGTCCCTGTGATGGACCGGAGACCGTCCAGGATGTACCCCACCCAGATTCACATTTATGTATTAAGTAGAGATGAATGAAGATGATATAGCAAATAGACACCGTGTGACTGACAGCCGGGACTGTCCATTGTTCCGAGTGTCTGTGGTCAAATTTCCAATGCTGCGTCCTCAAACTGAGAGATCATTTTGCAACAGGAAACCAATATAATGTCCACAATAAATGCACATTGTGCACGCAGCTTTGTACTTTTCACTGACAGCACTGAAACGTACACCCCTGCTATATTTAAACACACGGAGCCTCACACCATGCTATGCCGTCTATACATTTTCGTGCTACCAACTCTTTTGCAAGTTCAACAGACTGCACATGTATCTGTGATCCATGTAGGCAGCTCGTCTTACTTGTATTACCACAGTGGGCAGATAGGAGGCAACACGTTCTATTGATGGCCACAATATTAAATACACACTGACTTCTTTAGTGCCGGAAAACCACAGGGAGTGGTTTCTACCTGTAGCTCTAGTGTGCGGCCAATCATAGCGGAGATAAATTAAGTGGAGAGGAGGGCAGCAGTCGATCAGTGGGCAGAACGAGGAGTTCATTAGCCACAGGGGTTGCTTTGGTGGCCATAAGCTGCTGGTGATGTCTGCAGGCCAACACCTTACGTGAACACGGGAGATGGTGGGGTGGGGGGGGGGTTGGGGACTAAAGGACAGTGCGAGAATGTGTGATTGAAAATTGTGAAGCGGGTTGGCCATTAAGATAAAGACAGAGAGAGAGAGAGAGAGAGGGAGGGAGAGAAAAAAAAAGCTTTTTGTAAAGTGCAGTCCATTTGCGGCTGCCTGCTATTTTCAAGTAAAAGCGAGGAGTTCAATTTGCATCAAGCAACTCGTCTTCTAACAGCGGGTCAAACTTTCAGAGCCTTCTGCCCAAAAAATGTGCGCGCACTTTTACCTCATTTATTCCACTCATGGTGAAAGAGAAGAGACGACCGAAGCTTTTAACCTCTGCTTCAATCAATCTGAACGTCAGCAGGACGCCATTTGTACAAAACAAAGCTGGAGTTGAAGGAATGTGTCCAATGTGGAACTGAATCCTCTGAATCTTTCATGCTTGTAGGGACAGTTGGGGAACTTTTAGTCTGTTTTGAAGAAATAAAGCCAGGAAAGAAGTTCAAAAACCCTTGAGATTTTTATTTTTTGAGTCCATTTGCTAAAAACCTGCCCTGCTGGAAATCTTTGGTGCAACATGATGAGTCACAAAAGCAAAGACTGACTAACAAATGAAATCTGATCAATATTTTTTTCTTCACAAGAGCGATGAAAGTGCATTCTCAGTGACTGCTTTCCTGAGTGAGTGTCGCAGAATGAACTCATGTTTCCCATCCTTTTATCATGCTAGCACAGGAATAAGGCCACAGATGCAAACAGTAAATCACCTGTGGTGTTAGAGAGCTTTACCTCAGCCTCCGAGACAGAAGGCTTTCCTTCCTCACAGCTTTGTTTTTCTTTGCTTAATCTTCGTGCTACTGAAACTTCCTTTTATTGCAGCAGCAGCAGCAGCAGCAGCAGCAGCAGCTTGAGAACCTTCAGGATGTTGCATCAGAACCTAGCCACTTGTTACACTCTTCTGCTCTTGTCTTGAGACAAATAATCTGGATCAGGCATCTGATGTCTGATGTGTTCTCTTTTTTCCTCAAAGGTTTTAACGTCACCTTTCTGTTGTAGGGAGTTAAGATCTTAGTAGATCTGCAGGTGATGGACTAAGGTCTGAGTTGTGGAGATAGTTAGGTACAAGATAAGTTACTACTTTCATTGGGGCTGAACCTGGGCCCAATACTAATACCAATATCAGTATCTGGCCTGATAATTTAAATACACACAAATGTGGTTCCATAGTACAGCGGTTAGCATGTCTGTCTGAGTTGCAACCATGTACTGAATGGCACCTCCTGTGGCCGTCTGTGTCAGTTGCAAAGACTCATGCTGTAAATTTCCCCATTGTGGGATGAAAAGGCACTCATTTATTTTACATTATTATTATTGTACTCAAAAACATGTCAGTCCAGCGTCAGCATATTCTACTGAATCGTTCGCAGAGGTCTGTTAGGTGCTTCCATTTTTATACACAAGCCCCACACTATAGAAGAGAGTCTTTAAAAACACACCCTGAACACGTATGACAGCGACAGAGGAAGTGTCTGCGTTCTGTTGTTTGTCATTTAAAAGAACCAGTGTTGCCCCAAATTGGCTGCTGGACCTCCCACGGGACTTGATCCAGTAACTGCATGCGTCCTCCAGAGAAGGTGTGGTGATGATATGCTGTTCTCCCCTGTGAGCCAAAATCACCCAGGGACGCCTCAATCCTGGCTGAAAGATCCTGCTGCTCAAATCTGCATAATAGCAACACTTTCCTGATCTGTTGTGACTAAGCGTTGACTTTAATTGAAATGGAAAAGTGCATCATCACCTCCTGCAGCTTAGAGGGGTGTTTGTTCAAGACCAATCAGACGACCCGACCTCTTCCACATCACGTGATGCCTGTTTATGGTCAAATACGCAACAAAAAGGGAGACTTTGAGCTCTGGTGTGTTTGAGAGATAAACCACACGGCTCTATTTGTCAACAGCAGCGATGGGTTGGGGTTGGTAGATTTATGTGCACACACACACACACACACACCTTTCCTCCTGGGATCCTTCCTCTGACAGTGTGCGCCTCCTGTCTCCCTCCTCAGACCACGAGTCGAAGCTACAGTTTTGCTGTCAGTGAGATGCAGTCAGTCGAGAGGAGATCAAAATCAAAGCAAAGTGGAATTTCAAAAGAACTGGGTTTTATTTAGTGACATCTTAGCTAACAGTTAGCTCTCCAACAAACATTTTGGATTCTTTGTACCTGCAGTAAATCATCCACGTTTGTTAATGGAGCTCTCAAT